TATACATAACAGATTTAATGTTATTTGATAGTCAACTTATTGGGTTTTGTTTTATACTCAAATATCTGCATTTATTGTAACAATAGGTAATAAAAATCATTCTGGATACTTAAAAAAATACTGAAAATTAAGAAAATTCCAAATGTAGAGGATAATGGAAAATTACAACTATCAACTGGACTAAAAGTTCACTGAACGATTTGATATCATCTTATCTGTTATAGACACTTGTATTTCATTGATTAAAATCGGTCAGTGTGTCTTTAATAAAAAACCTTGTCATGCTTAAGTCTCATTAATTTAACTAATTGACAAAATTGATATAATTAAGGTCATCATATCTTAATTGGTGTGTTTTTTATTTCTGGTTGTAATAAGATAACAATGGCAACATTTAATTGTGAACTAGTTATCTATTTCTTAGGATCAGCTATACATGAATTAAATTGATTTTATTTTAATGCTGCACATAAAATCTACATTGCTATCTGCACATATATAGTTTAAACTTTAGATCTATAAAAATGCACCCATGTAGAATTTAGCAAAATATTCTTTATTTTTATTGAAGACAAAAAATGGGACCAAAAATGAAATACAAAATACAAAATAGCAAACGGCCATGTCCAGATTGTCTAACTTATTTTATTTAGGGAGATGAGAGTCATGCATTTTTTAAAAAAAAAATTATAATGGTATAGCACAAAAAATATTTTTTAGTGTGAAATGAATTCTAACATCTGACCTTGAAGTCAAATTTAAAGAAAGCTGTGTATAACAATGCAAAGCTTGCTTGGTAACCATAATTGTCTATGTTGGGTTAATATGGTCCATTAAAACTATTCTTTAACTAAAACTTAATTGATGTCTACTAGCCAAGTTACATGATCAAAGTATTTAAAAACTGAAGTTAGATGTAGAACATAACAAACTCAGTAAAAAGTGAAATACAAGTAACTACTTTAGGAAATCTGTTTAAAGATGCCAAGTAACATGCTTGTATAAATCTATCATATATTTGAGAACTAAACTTTGACAGAAATCTTATTAAAAAAAAGTCTCACTGAAATGTAAATTGTAGTTGAAGGTTGCTAACTTAAGGTTGTAGCTGTAAAACTCCAGTAGATATATTCTCTTAGAATAAATCTTCATAAAAGTCAATGAGTTATGAATTGTAGGTAAGAGTGACCTACTTCTGATGGAAAGCTGACAGACATACCAAGATGTGTTGAAGTTCAAATTTATATATGACTTTAGTTTGGTTTAGGTTATACAGTATCAGAGAAGTGAATTTGAGAATAAAATTTAACCTAAGTTGACTACTACCAGAAGATATTTTATGAATAAGGTTCAACTGTCTGTTTTTAGAAAGAAATGTCCAACTCAGAATATTTTGAATGACTTGAAGGATGTTTAAGATGCTTGATTTTGTTGTTGACCACCACCAGAGAGTGTGTTTCCAATAAGTAAAAATGTCTGTTTACAAGCTCAAGGTCAATACTTTTGTGTTACAATATACAATAGAGTGTGTTTTGGTATGAAGACTTTGCTTACAGTAGCTCTAGTTTGTTTTCCCATCCCATTGGTTACATGTAATTTTTATGTCTTTGTAATCTGCAATATCAAATACAAGTCTATAGTATTGTGTACCAAAATAATCAGTCAGTTGCTATGTGTTTATCTTCATCCTCTTTTCACAAACTTACTTTGTAATTATTTTTTCATGATGTTCATAAATGAACTGTTGTTTATTACCCCCTGTAGTTGCTATCTATTTCAAGCAAATAGAATAAGGCCTTTGTTGACGGGAGATATTGTTTACCTCCCTTAGTGGAAACAGTATCACTCTAATCTGTAACTCGTAATAGATTGTTTTGATTAATTACAAAACTCTCTGTCAATTTAAAATCTCAACAATAGTGAAGGTATGTAAATGCATCTAGAGAGTAGTTTGGACATGTTATAGGAAATCTTTGTGTTCAGAAAATTGTTCATTAAATATTCATTAACTTAACACTTTCAGATATATATATGCAAATCACCATTTAAAAATGAGAGTGTATTGACATTTTGTCCTTTTGTACCGGATGATGGAAGGAGTATTAACATATTATGAGAGAATAATTATATTGCCTTATTCAATGTATTTGAAGTATGTTTCCATCAATATCATTACCCAATTTATGTCATGTTGAACCTGAAAGAAGAGCCTTTATAGTACATTCAAACATCATATATTTAAAACTATATGAGCTGTCCTTTTAAGATTTAAAATTGTTTGTTGGAGTACAGTGCATTTCAATATATATCATTTAGTTACCTTACAGTTCGGTAAAGCACCTGGTAAATTTATAGAATGAAAAATTTACCTGACTTCACTATATACTTGAAAACCACCTCTTTGCAGACACATGTTTCTTTTTGGAGATGGAGATGAGTTCAGACTCAAGGCAAAATTTATTTCAACATGTATTATTTGTCCTTTTTATCAAAACATGTCTTTTAATTCTACTTTTGAAAATTTGACCCTTTTCATGTCCAGAGTGGTCCTCAGGAACACCACTTATTCTTGGCTCAAGTCCTTTCTATGTGATCTTATTTAATTTCAAGCATCCATAATTCATTGAACATAAGTTAATGATTAAAAAATAAAGTGACCAGTCATTCTACAGTGATCTCCAGTCAATCAGCTTTTTTACAAAAATATTTTACATATGTGTGTAGGAACTATTTTGTTTTAGATATGTGCTACTTTCTGGTATGTTCTTTCTGACCCGGCCAGAATAAGTGGTGTTACACTTAATATTTTGATCTCAAGTGATTCCAAGATGGATATCTTGATCCTGACAACTTTTACAATTAAAGAACACCCTATTCCAAGGCAAAACAATACTGTGCATTTAATGGAAAGTTATATCTTGATTGATAGTGATATAAAATTATTGAGGGCTGTATTATAGTTAAAAAAAGAAAAGAATATCAATCTGACAACAATGTCATCTTTAGAATACCAAGGAGGACACCAAAATCATAAATAATTTGAAAGTCCAAGCTCTAATCATGATCATGTTCAAAACAACAATTAATGTGTATAAAACAGATTTTACCCTGAAAGCAAAAAGTTTTAGGCAGGTAGCATATTTATTTTAAGTGCACTTTCCATTTTGAAATTCTTTTATATTACACAAAAGTTCATACTTTATTTTTCAACTGGGTCTTGGAAAAAAATTCTGTAAGATCTAAAATGTAAATATACAGAAAGAGTGAAAATTTGGAAATCTAAAAAGAAGTTTTATAGAAAATATTCATGAAGGAATGAAAGATGAATATTTATTTCTGGTGTTTCACTGAAATTAATCTGTATAACCGACATAAATGTAAATTTGATGAAATGTATAGCAGGAGATTTTAACCCCATCAAAATACTTGATCTCACTCCATTTGGAGTTCATAGATTCCAAATTATTTTTGTCTGTTTCATGTCTTTTTTCTGGACTTGTGAGATTAACCATGCACTAAGTGTATATATTTATTGCCAGACATATAGAAAATAAGTATTCACTGATGATAGTAACAGATTAAATCTGCTCTTTCAAATTCCTTATAACACTACAGAACAATTTATTTTGTTCAGAATCAGACTTGTCATAGCCTCATTCAAGAAGTTACTCAAGATGTGGGAATTTTCCTAAATGTTTACCATGTGTTAAAATACTAACTTGTATCTTTTAATACTATTAATCTCATAAGACTACTGTTTAAGAGCATTTGAGTTTTACCCTTACCATTCCTAATATCATTTTCTATTTTTGGTTTCATAAGATGTAAAAATAAACTTTATGCAAATATGTTTAATTCTTCTTAAAAACTAACGGATCAAGACAATAAGCTGAATATAATCCTAAGTTAAAGCTGTTCTTTTTGTTTTAAGTCTCATTAAGCTGATTCTAACTTAAGTCAAAGCTGTTTATTTGTGGACCAACAAATTTTCTTTAAACTAATGAAAGGTTGGTCTGCTTTTTCGAAGCAGAATGTGTAGTCAGACCTAAGGATTTGTGTTAAGCTTTATATTTCAGGGGGTAGTAAACCTGGAATCTATACCTTTTATACAGATCACTAAGTTACTGTCTTTCATATGTCTGTTGTCCTTGACTTCATTTCCATGGTTCAGTGACTGCTTGAAAAAAGTTTAGATTTTACGTTATGTGAATTTCTCACTTATTATGGGTAAGATGATAACTATATTTGGTATATGGGTTTCTTGCAAGATCTACATGTCAGTTGGACAGGGTTCACCTGACCTCAACCTCATTTATGGATCAGTGATCAAGGTTAAAGTTAAATGATAAGGTCTGTTTCTCAGATACTGTAAGCAGAAATTCAACTATATTTGGTGCATGGAATGAGTGTAAGGTGTACATGTCAGTATTGCATGTTTCATCTGACCTTTACCTCATTTTCACAGTTCATTGTTAAGTTTTTGTGTTTTGGTCTGTTTTTTCTAATACTATAAGCAATAGGTAAACTATGTTTTGTGTATGAAATGATTGTAAGGTGTACATGTCTATCTGGCAGGTATCATCTGTCCTTGACCTCATTTTCATGGTTCATTGATCAATGTAAAGTTTCAGTAGTAAGGTCCTTTTCTAAGATACTGTAAGCAATAGACCAACTATATTTGGTGTATGTAATGATTGTAAGGTGTACAGGTCTGTACGACTTGGTTTATCTGTCCTTGACCGCATTTTCATGTGGTACATGTGGTAGAACTTAATATTTAGGACTATCAACATAAAATAAATCATAAATAGTAAAGCAGGGGAGACATTTCAGCATGTGCACTTATATCACACAATATTTTTATACGACCGCAAAAAAATTTTTGTGGTCGTATATTGGTATGACGTTGGCGTCGTAGTCGTCGTCGTCCGAATACACATTAGTTTTCGCACTCTAACTTTAGTTTAAGTAAATGGATCTCAATGAAATTTTACCATAAGGTTCAATACCACAAAAGGAAGGTGGGGATTGATTTTGGGGGTTATGGTACTAACAGTTAAGGAATTAGGGGCCAAAAGGGGCCAAAAATAAGCATTTTTGTAACTTCCAGACATAACTTGTGTGTAAGTGTATGGATCTCTCTGACATTGTACCACAAGGTTCCATATCACAAAGGGAATGCTGGGATTGATTTTGGGGGTAATTGCCTCCAAATTTTAGGAATTGGGGGCCAAAAAGGGGCAAAAAACAAGCATTTTTATACGACCATGACAATATCTTGTTTGTAAGTGTATGGATCTTTATGAAATTGTACTACAAGGTTCCATATCACAAAAGGAATACTGGGATTGATTTTTGGGGTAATTTCCTCCAAATTTTAGGAATTAGGGGCCAAAAAGGGGCAAAAAACAAGCATTTTTCTAGTTTCATGACAATAACTTGTTTGTAAGTGTATGGATCTTTATGAAATTGTACTACAAGGTTCCATATCACAAAGGGAAGGCTGGGATTGATTTTGGGGGTTTTCCCTCAAAATTTTAGTAATTAGGGGCCATAAAAGGGCAAAAAAAACATGCATTTTTCTAGTTTCAGGACAATAACTTGTGTGTAAGTGTATGGATCTTTATGAAATTGTACTGCAAGGTTCCATATCACAAAGGGAAAGCTGGAATTGAGTTTGGGGGTAATTGCCCTAAACGTTTAGGAATTTTGGGCCAAAAAGGGGCCAAAAAACAAGCATTTTTCTAGTTTCCAGACAATAACTTGTGTTCAAGTGTATGAATCTCTCTGAAATTGTACTGCAAGGTACCATACCACAAAGGGAAAGCTGGGATTGAGTTTGGGGGTGATGAATCATAAGGGGGTTCAAAAAATTGGGGGGGGATTTATTTTTCCTTTTTTTTCTTTAACATTTTCCATTTTAAATTGGTTATTTCTGATTTATATATAAAAGCAAATAATAATGATATGGTTTGAATAGGCATACATGTGAACCTCCCGACGGGAGTACAATAATCCCGTTTTCAGGGGTCTCCTCCCGACCTCCCGTTGAAGAGGAAAAAATCCCGTGTATGAAATTTTTCATGAATGAAAAATTTCTGCCCAACATATCATCTCAGGCATCTGGTGTAACTGACATTACCTGAAGTTATATTTTACCTGTAAATCAATTAACATGCATAATTATATGGCTTCACTTGTCAGCTTGGGTGTCAAACATACAGGTAATCAACGATTTTTACCTCAGGCTAACTGCCGTTGTGTAACAAAAACTGTGTATTTATTGGGTTACTTCCCTTGATTTATCCTGTTTTAAGTTACTTTCCTTTTAATAATGAAAATTTTTAAAAGAATATAAATAAAATATAAATTGAACAAATAATCATAAAAGGATGGTTATTAAATGATTTTAAATGTCTTAGGACAAATAAAAAAATAATAATTTGAAAATTATTTGAGGATTCTAGACTTCCTTTCAAGGCTTAAATTGAAATTTATATAATAACTATGACCCTAATTTTACAGATAAAATGATTTTCTGAGTTTGCAAATAAAAACTATTTGCAAGAGAAAAAAATAAAATAAAAACTATTTGCAGATAGCTAAACAAATGTTCTGGTTGCAATGATTGTTTTATAGAATATGAAGTAAAAAATTTAAAGAACATACTGGAAAAATACAATGTTAGATTGAACATGTAGAATATAAAGATGGAGAAACTTTATAAGTACAAGGGTACTATAAACATAATAAATTGGATGGAAAGTTGAAGAAAACACACTTTAAAAGACCATTTTTACAGCACAGGGTTACATTTACAACAAAATTAATGTCGATTAAAAACCTCCTGATCTGAGTCCTAATCTCCTGACCAAAATTTCCCAATCTCCTGATCTGAGTTTCACAGTCCATCACATGTATGAATAGGTAAATTGAAAATTTTTAAGTTCTTAGACCACTTTCATTCTGTGTCAGAAACCTATGCTGTGTCAAATATTTAATTACAATCCAAATTCAGTGCTGTATCAAGCTTGAATGTTGTGTCCATACTTGCCCCAACTGTTCAGGGTTCGACCTCTGCGGTCGTATCAAGCTGCGCCCCAGCGGAGCATTTTATTTGACATTAAGGAAAGTTAAAAGTTTTCATGGCAATAGGAATCACATCTATGAAATGTTAAATTTTATTTCTTCATGTTGTTTATATTAGGTAATGTGGATTCATTATTATTCATGGTGTACCAATTTTTGTGGATTTCATGGTTGTAGGTAAAACCCGAATTTAATTGTTTAATGAAGTACAAATTTTCTATATAGGCTTACATGTATGAAACTTTGGCAAAACCAAGAAATCAATATCTACAAAAACTCTTTTTTTCCACAATACAAGAAAAATTGGTACCAACAAAAATAAATAGTTTCACATGTGTCATTTAACTTCGTCGACCTTTAACATATTGATCTTAAATGTAGACAAGACATTTTTGTGTGTCCACACTTGTTGACCTTTTTGTTAATATTTGTTGAAAGAAGTGTTATCCTTGGAACCACTAGTTCAAAGATTTTGATTGAATGAATTCAATAAAATGACTGTAAAACAATAAATGAAACTTTATAAAAAATAATATTGATAATATAGTGATTACAAGCATTAAACAGTGTCTTTGAGCAGAGTTTTGGAAATGGCAGTAAGCTGTCCAGTTTTATCATATTCCATAGCAGTCTTACCATCTTCATCCAGATAAGTAAAATTAGCACCATTCTTCATCAAGAAGATTGCAGTGTCTATATGTTTTTCATGGACAGTTACATGCAATGGTGTTTGTCTTTTCCCATTTATGCTATTTATGTTTGCACCGCCATGAATGAGTAAGGAAACGAGTCTGTTGTTTCCTGATGACGCAGCATAATGAAGAGGACTTCCACCATGTAAATCACGGAGATTGATATTTGCACCGTATTGAATGAGATCCTTTGTTAGTTGATCCTGGTTATTTTCCACTGCAAAATGTAGAGCAGTTTTATTACTTGTACTTATCATGTTAACATTGGCATTGTTCTTAAGGAGGAGGGAACAGATTTCTGGTGCTTGATGACCAGCAGCAATGTGAAGTGGAGATTTACGAAATTTGGTAGTTAAGTTGACATCAGCTCCACTTTCCAGTAGTGCTTTAGCTATTGCTAAATGGTTATTGGCACATGATAGATGTAGCGCAGTACGTCCCATTCTCTTCTCTTTCAAATTGATGCTAACATTACTTCTTTTAAGTATCAATTTAGCAATGTCTGTGTACCCTGCTGCTACAGCTAAATGTAATGGTGTCATACCAACCTCGTCTTTGCTCCATACATCCGCACCTCTTTGTATAAGTAACTTTGTAAGTTCAGGATGTTGATATATGATAGAGAGATGAAGAGGTGTTTTTCCAGTGTCATCTGCAGCATTGATGTCTGCATCATGGTCTAGCAACAATGTTGACATTCTAGTATTGTTTTTCAGAAGGGCTATATGCAGGGGTGTTCTTTTGGATTTGTCTGTAATGTTAACATTTGCACCTTCGTCAAGTAAAAATTTGGAGGCACGGATTTTATCACTTTTAACAATCTTATGAAGAATTGTTATTCCACTTCTTCTGTTGAGAGTACGATTAACATCAGCTCCATGATCGATGAGAATTTTAGCACCATAGAGATTGTTGTGACACAGAGCATTGTAAAGTGGAGTGTTTCCTTCAATATCACGACAGTCAATATCTATATTGAAATCAATTAGAATTTTAACTACATTTGGACGGAACCTCTGTGCCATTGCATGTAAAATGGTTGTTCCTTCATTGTTGATATTTGTACACAAGTCATTACAAATATCCTTATTCTTTTGTAGAACACGGACTACATCCAGAGCATCTCCATATAACACAGCTTCCATTAGTTTATCAGTTTCCTTATCTAAAACTTCGTAATTTGTCATTTTGTAGCAAGTCAATTTTTTCAGTTTCCTGCTCCTTTTATGTTTAGTTATTTAACATGTTATCAAAGCACAATCAAAACTAATTTTATGTCCTTTTTACACAAAGAAATCCTTTTAAATAATCCAGTGTACTAACACGCTGTTCAAACTTACCAAAGAAACTCCCAATTGACAAATGGGAGTGAAAGGAAAAGTGACGGTTTTGAAGAAAATTGTAAACAAATTAAATAGATGCCATATATTTTATAGGTAGACAGGTAGATGGTACTTCTATGTTGCCATCATCTACTCACTCTTAACGGTAGAGAGTTTTATTCTCTGTAATTGTTGTTTTACGGCTTTCCAATAATGACACGGTTGAGTTTTATTGTTCAGTTTATAAATATTTGTCCATTTAAAAACTAATACTTGAATAAAATTTCCTTTCTATTCAGAGAGATTAATATAAGTATGTTTAATGAATGTTCCAAAATAGATTCAATAAATCCTTACAATTTGCATCCATTAGTCTCCATATGTAATCCAAACTCTATACTTTCTGATAATTCAGAATCCAATAAAACTTTCCATTATGATTTTAATTCTTTTCATCACAATTTTTTTTCCAGATATGCTCTAGATATCACACTTCTATATATTCATTTTTAATCTGAATGAAGATTTTAATGGAATTAGTTTTTATTCTCTCTCAATGGTTGATCTTATATGGCATATATATATTAGATCAATAAACTACAGGATTGCATGTATGTTTATCAGGTAAATAAGAAATATTGAATTGAAATTGATTACAATCGTAAGTTTCTATGAAGCTTTATTCCTTTCCTTAGTGACTAACTTTGAATATCATGTCTCCGTTCTATCCATTGTAAATATTAAATGTTAGACAGTACATAAATCTAACGTCATAATCCAGCAAGATATTAGTTCTTTATCTGGTTTGCATTTAATCTTTGTATCAAGTTAATAACACATACAATAAATATCAGTAATTTGCAGTTATTTTTCAGGTATTTAAACTGGCTAACTTATCCCTTTTTGACAGATCGTTAAATTTTTCTGTCCTAACAAAATAGGTTGTTTGGTGACGATACATCATTTCGTAACAAGATAGGAAGTTTCTGTATGATATCCTGTCCAACAAGTTTGTATCCATTGAAATCAAATTTTATTTAAAGCTTTTTTGTTAAACTAATGAATCCGATAACTTTCCATTATAACCTATGCATCATTTATTCAATTTAAAGTAAATTTTTGAATGAATATATTTGATCTTTTATATTGATATATTTAATAGCAGACCTTTGAAGGGTTTTCATCTAGCGACTTTCTTTTGATCTTCATATTAGTTATTTGTACTGAATTATTGTAGAAAACTTTCATAAACACAAGAATAAAAGATTGTCATAACTTGAGGATATATTAAATTATTCCAATGACTTTAACCATTAAAATTGAAAGGTCAAAGTGGTAATATCTTTAGGGAATTACACCTACGATCTGATTTAAAGATTTAAAAAATAAATCCAAGTGGCCTTGAATTAATTTGTTTTAATTAATTTCCTTTTACAGTGTGCGTGAATGAAAAATGTATAATTCTTGAGGCAGAAAAAAATTAAATTAAAGTAGATTTTATACCAAAATCTTCTTAAGTCTCACAATTATTGTTTGTATGAGGACAAATTTGATAAATCAAATGTTATTTTATATGTTTAACTAATATTTTGACACTATAAATATATTCAAATTGGTAAAGTTAAATATGTCACCTTAGGACAGTATGTTACCTATTAAGATTTAACAAGTCCTTTTAAATCTAAAATACCAGCATACATGTGACGTTAGACAAGAGATTTAATAATCAGCTTGAATAAGTGATAAATCTTATATCAACACACATGTACCATACTGATTTAGGTACTTTTAATACATATTTCATATTCAGCTGTCAGTCTTTAGTAGGCATTTTATGTATTGTTATATGTTTCTTGCTCTAATTTGACAGTACATATTGGTGATTGTCATGTCTTTGTATTATGATAGCAAAAATTTGGATCCTAAAAATCCTAAATTACCATGAACACAATTTTTGATCCTGAAAATGTCATTTTGGTTTATACATGTATATAATAGGTTAAATCCATGGTACATTATTTAATTTTAAGTCATTTTGTACCAGCATTGGAATCAACTTACTCAGTGCTTAATCTGGAGGTTTTGTCCTTTCACAACACCAATAGCTAAAAATTGTTTTGCCTACTTGCAGTTTTAATCCACCCCTACAAACTGATCAACTGGTAAAACATTTTACTTCATTGCGTCAGTGAAAGGTTGTTAGTATGAAGTGGGTGCAGTGAATAAAAATAATACTTACCATCAAATCAAGTAATTTATTGCCTGTGTCATGATTTTTGTCGAGCCTAGCTCGGCATAGGGATATTGATCTGGCGGCAGCAACGGCCACAGCGGCTTAAATAACTACTTAAACGCTTAATATTTCAGAAGGTAGAAGATCTGGATGCTTTATACTTCGTATATAGATGCCTTATGTTATGAAGTTTGCGTCTGTCATATGTACTTTGTCCTTGACCTCATTTTCATGGTTCGGTGACTACTTGAAAAAAAAGTTAAGGTTTTTATACGACCGCAACAAAATTTTGTGGTCGTATATTGGTATGACGTTGGCGTCGTCGTCGTCGTCGTCGTCCGAAGACACATTGGTTTTCGCACTCTAACTTTAGTTTAAGTGAATGGATCTTTTTGAAATTTTACCATAAGGTTAAATACCACAAAAGGAAGGTTGGGATTGATTTTGGGGGTTATGGTACCAACAGTTAAGGAATTAGGGGCCAAAAAGGGGCCAAAAATAAGCATTTTCTAGTTTCCAGACAATAACTGTGGAACGGTGTATGGATCTCTCTGAAATTATACTACAAGTTTCCATACCACAAAGGAATGGTTAGGATATGCTTTGGGGGGTTATGGCTCAAACCGCTTCGGATTAGGGGCAAAAAAGGGGGAAAAACAAGGTTGTCCTGGTTAATGGACAAATACTTTAGTACAAAACATAATTTAAAGCAGTGTAAGGGAGATAAATCAAATACATCATTGAAATTATCTCCCTTACACTGCTTTTAAATTATGTATAACGTAATGGTTAATGAACAATAAAGATAATTTAAAACAGTGTAAGGGAGGTAATCCAAACACAACGTTTTGGTTACTTCCCTTACACTGCTTTTAAATTATGTTTAAAGAAATGCATATTTATAAAGGAAGACCAGTAAAAATATCTGCAAATGTTGCATCTTTTTTTTTTACAAAAAAATCCATATGAAAGATTTGACACTATATTTTTAATTCTATTATAAAATAGATTAAGTTAGCACTATGGTAATTATGGTTGCCAACTCCATTGGAAGATTGAATTGAGATTATGACCATATCTTGAGGGAAAGAATTTTTTGGGGGAAAAAGGGGGGGGGGGGGTAAAAAGAAATTGTGGGGGTAAATTTTTTCTCAATTCAGATTTCAGAAATTAAAAAGAATTATTCTTCAAATATTATTTTTTTTTCAAATTTCAAATATTGAAAAATTTCAAGAAGTAATCTTTAATTGCACAGTATGGCGCATTAGATTTGTAAAATCTTTGATCACATTTATTTATTTGTTATGCCGAATCTAACAGTGTATTTAGATTTTTAATTTTGGGTCCAGTTTTCAAATTGGTCTACATTAAGGTCCAAAGGGTCCAAAATTAAACTTTGTTTGATTTTAGCAAAAATTGAATATATGAGGTTATTTGATATGCTGAATCTAAACAAGAATTTAGATTTTTGATTTTTGGCCCAGTTTTCAATTTGGTCCAAATTGGGGTCCAAAATTAAACTTTGTTTGATTTCAACAAAAATTGAATATATGGGGTTCTTTGATATGCTGAATCTAACCATGTAATTAGAATTTTTATTTGTGGACCTCGTTATCAAATTGGTTCATATTGAGGTCAAAAGGGTCCAAAATTAAACTTTGTTTGATTTCATCAAAAATTGAATTATTGGGGTTCTTTGATATTCCAAATCTAACCGTGTATTTAAATTTTTAATTTTGGGTCCTGTTTTTTAAATTGGTCTACATTAAGGTCCAAAGGGTCCAAAATTAAACTTAGTTTGATTTTAACAAATATTGAATTCTTGGGGTTCTTTGATATGCTGAATCTAAACATGTCTTTAGATTTGATTATGGGCCCAGTTTTCAAGTTGGTCCAAGATAGGGTCCAGTATTTAAACTTTGTTTGATTTCAACAAAAATTGAATATATGGGGTTCTTTGATATGCTGAATCTAAACATGTATTTAGATTTTTGATTATGGGCCCAGTTTTCAAGTTGGTCCAAATTTGGGTCCAAAATTAAACTTTGTTTGATTTCAACAAAAATTGAATATATGAGGTTCTTTGATATGCTGAATCTAACCATGTATTTAGATTTTTTATTTGTGGGCCCCGCTATCAAATTTGTTCATATTGAGGTCAAAAGGGTCCAAAATTAAACTTTGTTTGATTTCATCAAAAATTGAATTATTGGGGTTCTTTGATATGCCAAATCTAACCGTGTTTTTAGATTTTTAATTTGGGTCCCGTTTTTTAAATTGGTCTTCATTGAGGTCCAAAGGGTCCAAAATTAAACTTAGTTTGATTTTAACAAAAATTGAATTCTTGGGGTTCTTTGATATGCTGAATCTAAACATGTGTTTAGATTTTTGATTATGGGCCCAGTTTTCAAGTTGGTCCAAGTTGGGGTCCAAAATTAAACTTTGTTTGATTTTAACAAAAATTGAATATATGGGGTTCTTTGATATGCTGAATCTAACCATGTATTTTGATTTTGGACATTGGACCATAATAGGTAAATTAAAAAAATTCAAGTTCTTAGACCACATTCTTTCTGTGTCAGAAACCTATGCTGTGTCAAATATTTAATAAAAATCCAAATTCAGAGCTGTATCAAGCTTGAATGTTGTGTCCGTACTTGCCCCAACTGTTCAGGGTTCGACCTCTGCGGTCGTATCAAGCTGCGCCCCAGCGAAGCATTTTATTGTAATGTTAATTTCTCTCTTATTATGAGTAATAGGATAACCATATGTCCTCATGCCTATCAGACAGTTTTCACTTAGACCTCAACCTCATTTCATGGATCAGTGAAAAAGGTTAAGTTTTCATGGTCAAGTATATATCTCAGATACTATAGGCAATAGGTCTACTATATTTTGTGTATGGAATGATTGTAAGGTGTCCAACTGGCAGTTGTCATCTCACCTTGACCTCATTTTCGTGGTTCAATGATTAAAGTTAAGTTTTTTGTGTTTTGGTCTATTTTTCTAATACTGTATGCAATAGGTCAGCTGTATTTGGTGTATGGAAATATTTAATGATGTACATGTGATGATGATGTCAGTCTGGCAGGTTTTTTTTTTTTACCTTGACCTCATTTTCAGGGTTCATTGCTCAATGTTAAGTTTTTGTGTTTTGGTCTGTTTTTTTTAAACTATAAGTAATAGGTCAACTATGTTTGGTGTATGGAATGATTGTAATGTTTATATGTCTGTCTGGCAGGTATCATCTGACCTTGACCTCATTTTCATGGTTCATTGAATAATGTTAAGTTTCAGTAGTTAGGTCCTTTTCTAAGATACTGTAAGCTATAAGCCAACTATATTTGGTGTATGTAATGATTGTAAGGTGTACAGGTCTGTATGACTTGGTTTATCTGTCCTTGACCTCATTTTCATGTGGTAAATGTGGTAGAACTTAATATTTAGGACTATCAGCATAAAACAAATCATAAGTTTTTGTGGTTAAGCTTGTTTCTTAGATACTATATTTGATACTCAATTATATATTTGATCCATGGAATGATTGTAAAGTGTACATGTGTGTCTGTCAGGGTTCATCTGACCTTGACCTCATATTCATGGTTCATTGGTCAATATAAAGTTTTCATGATTTGGTTTGTTTCTTGTTTACTATAATCAATAGGTCAACTATATTCAATGTTTGGAATGATTGTAAGGTGTACATGTATTTCTGGCTTGGTTTATCTGACCTTGACCTCATTTTCTTGGATCATGATAAGTTAATGTGATACTTGTAGTAAAACTTTAAAATTTAGGGCTATCAACATAAAATCAATGGTAGAAAAGCAGGCGAGACATTTCAGTGTGTGCACTCTTGTGAAATAAGATAAATGTAAGGCAATGGTTTAAAAAGGTTTGACTCTAACATTTAATAAATAATTAGTTCTAATCTATGTTTTGTTGGTCAATAATTTATTGCTATGATTTTTAACAGAAATTTATTGTGTATTTGTAATTTGGATATTTTTTTCTGCAGCAATTGCTTATCGGGTAATATCAAAGGGAAATAAGTTAATCAGTTTTTCTGCCTGTGGAAATGATTAAAAATACTCACTGGTAGATAAGGTATAAACACAAATTTTGGGACGAGTTAAGCAAACGTTTGAAACGTACAAGATCACTTGATCTGGATCAAATCTGATATCATCAGATAAAATCACTCATCATAAGGCTTTAATACACAAAACTTGAGCATGAATAACAAAGATACAGGAACATATGAATAAGCACTATAACTAGAAACAAGCCTGAGGTGGTTATTACCTTGAAGAAATGTACTCTTCTTTATATTGAGGAATAAAAGAAGATTTTACTATCAAATGATTTATGCATATTGATTATCAGGGATTTAAAGAATACAGGTATTAAAAAATATATATTAGTGATAGCAAATGTCTGCATGTAGTAATGAAATTTTACCAAATTTTTGCTTATTTTCAGAATATTAAATCCTCACCAGAAGACCACCATGCACATCACCATCATGATCATAAGCATGAAGAAAAGGAGGAGAAAAAGTAAGATTTTGGGAAAATATTTTAGACATATTGTAAGATGCAATAATTAAATTTCAAAACCTTATTTTAACATCATTGCATGGTAGAAACCCTTTAGAATAGACAAAAATAAGCTGAGGATGTTTTAGTATCAGCACTTTCAATAAGAGACCACAGTTATAGCATGAAATTTGATTAATTGACTAAAACAGAATCTCTTTAAAATGACCACAAAATTTGGATTGAAACTGAATTTAAATACAGATTTAAAGTCATATAATTCTTCATATTTATCAAAGAAAGGAAATTGTTCTAGATAATGACTAGGTTTTTATGCCCCACCTACGATAGTAGTAGGGGCATTAATTATGTTTTCTGGTCTGTGCGTCCATTCTTTCGTCTGTTCGTCTGTCCCGCTTCAGGTTAAAGTTTTTGGGGATGAAGTTGAAGTCCAATCAACTTGAAACTTAGTACACGTGTTTCCTATGATATGATCTTTCTAATTTTAATGTCAAATTAGAGTTTTGACCCCAATTTCACAATCCACTGACCATAGAAAATGATAGTGTGAGTGGGGCATCCGTGTACTATGGACACATTCTTGTTTTTATTATGTACACATGTAGATAAACTTTCTTTTAAAGAAAAATCCTTTGTTTTATTCAAATCTTCAGGAAATGTACTGCTATTGAATTGTGGATTTCTCATTCTCTAATTCACTAGCAGCTTTCACATATGCAGTGACCTTAACATGATTTTTGGGGAAAATTTGGCAAGGTGCAAGTCTGAAGGGAAAAAACCTTGATGGAAAGAAGATATTATTATCCGAATTCAATACTGTAAATCATTTAACCACTGTTTTAGTAACAATTGGGAAACACATGGAAAGTAGAAAAAAAAATGTTGACTTATCACCTCACTTATTGTACATGTTGAAAAATTGACAAAAAAGCAAGATTAATTATTTTAATGCTGTATACAAATATAATTTTTGCTCTCAAAATTAAAGATGTGAGTTTTTAATTGTGGCAAAACTTATCCCGTTACAATTATTGCAGTAATAAAAACGTTGCAAAAATTTATGAATTTATAGCATCAAAACATTTCCAAATAACTGTTTGTCATTGTTTTCAAGTTGATAATTACAGAGTTATATTTTAGTTGTCCTTTATTAAAATGCATGAGTTGTTTTTTGGGAATTTAAGTTCTTGTATTTACAGGGATAAGGAAAAGATAGGATCAGAAGAAAATTTAGTACATAATTCAACAGAAAATGCCACTAATGAACAGTTATCTAACAAAGAAAACAAAGAACCAAAAACTTTTAAAGAGAAATATGATAAATCCAAAAATACACAGAGAGAAATAAAGACAACTTATTCAGCACGGGAAAGTACAAGTGCTCCCACTTTACAGATTCAAATTCCATCATCAGCTGATATAAAGGAAGAGGTAAAGAGTAAAGAAGTGAAAACTCCATCGAAGGAAGTTACATACACAAGACCAAGCAGTATCCCACCAACTGAGGCGATGTCACCAGATGGTACTCATCCACAACAATCCAGCAGAGGAAAGGCAGCATTCATGATTTCAGGGTAATAATACTTCTTTCTTAGTAAAGAAAGGATATGGGATATATGTTCATGAAACAACAATAATCCCATGAAATAATAGGATATAATCAAAATAATCAGTAGTGTTTTATTGCTGTTCTTCATCTTGGCAGTTTGTAGAAGGTCTTCTACACTTACAGACTTTATCAGCTCATATCTTACAGTTAAATGAAAACATCTCCTAGCTTCAACTTCAAGCATTGATAGCATTATGATATTAAGTTATATATAGAATTTAAAGGTAAGGAGCAATTTGTACAAGGAAAAATGTAAAAAAATATATTGTAGTTATCAAATAATGAGTAATAGTATTTTGAACAACTGCATGTACATGTGAATTTGAATCTCAAAACCTTGATCACATAATTGTCAGTTTTCCAGCTGAAGGTCATGATTCTTTTCAGGGACCCCGGCTTCCTCCAGCAATAAAAACTGACCGACATGAAAAAGCACAATAGTGCTGAAAGTAGCATTAAACACCAACCAAGCAATCAATCACACAATAGTTTCAAGTTAAATAATTGTATCCTGATATAATTGTTCAATAAGAGTACAACCCTTTTGGTTTAATATCTTATGGTACAAAAAGGCTTTCTTGTTGTCTATAATTCTAATATTTTAGTATTTAGTCTATTTTTCAGTTCAGCTGCATAAAAGAAAGATACCAAAGGGACATTCAAACTCATAAGTAGAAAATAAACTGACAACGCCATGGCTAAAAAAAAAGAATCCGCTTATGAGGATAGAATTTTGAAATTTAGATTAGAACTTTAAGAATAACAATAAATGCCAGTGGTTAGTCGAAATAAGTGGTGATAATCATGGGCACTGACAATCTATGAGAGTCTAAAAGAGATGAGGGGCCTCCGTGGCTGAGTGGTCTAAGTAGTTACTACTGTAATCACTAGCCAGTCAACACTGAGGTTGTGAGTTCGAACACCGCTCGTGCGGGTGCACTCGACTCCAATCTTAATTGACTAGGATTGTCAGTTTTCCTATCGAAGGTCTGTGGTTTTCTCAGGGCACTCCGGCTTCCTCCACCAATAAAAACTGGCCGCCACGAAATAGCCCAAAAGCGGTGCTTAAAAGTGGCGTTAAAACACCAAAAATCAATCAATCAATAAAAGAGATGATCTTAGGTGCTATAGTTCCTGCTTTACATGTGTCACCTGTAGATTTGTTCATCTCAAGGAAAAATCTGGTGATTTGTTTCATTCCAGGATGTCATAATTGAGGAAAAGAGGATGGGATTGTGGCTATGACAAGTGGAAGATATTCATGTCACACAGATGCTTTTTAATGGGTAACCAAATCATGATGGCACACATAAAACTATCAAATGTGTTTTATTTTTTTTAGTAGTAAGCCTGTTACTGGAACAAGACCATTTTCAGCAGTTGATGCTTACAAGTATATTGTGGCACACCCTATAAGACAGTCGACAGGGTCAACAGAAAATAGCTTTTCTACATCTTACCAGCAACAGAGAACAGATGTATGGAAACAGAATGTCACAGCACGTCCTAATACTACTGCACCTTCAACAGGTATCTTGAAATCTAATACATGGTTAATTAAACCCTTTGTTAAGCTGTAAAAGGTATTCACCTTTTTAAGTATCGGCTGTTGGCATCAAATTGGTTGATCTTAATAAAGGATACATAATTTGATATAAATTATATTTATTTGGTGATATATGTTGTATTCTTTGTCTTGCCTGCGACGAAAGTCGCAGAATGCGAGACTTTGGTATTACAATCCGGCGGCAGTGACGCGTAAACTATTTTTTTAAAGCTTTATATTTCAGAAGGTAGAAGACCTGAAAGCTTCATACCTTGTGCGCAGATACCTTATGTTACGAAGTTTCAGTCTGTTATATGTCCTTGACCTCATTTTCATGGTTCAGTGACTGCTTGAAAAAAAATTACAGCATTTTGGTTAAGTGAAATACTCACTTATTATGAGTAATAGGATAACTATATTTGGTATATGGGTTCCTTGCAACGTCTCCATGTCCCTCAGATAGGGTTAATCTGACCTTGACCTTATTCCATGGATCAGTGATCAAGTTTAAAGTTACGTGGTCAAGTCGGTATCTCAGATACCATAAGCAGTAGGTCAACTATATTTGTTGTATGGAACGGTTGTAAGGTGAACATGTCCGACTGACATGTTTCATTTGACCTTGACCTCAATTTCATGGTTCATTGGACAATGTTTAGTTTTTGTTGTTTTGATCTATTTCTCAGATACTTTAAGCAATAGGGCCACTATATTTGGTGTATGGAATGATTGTCGGGTGTACATGTCCGTCTGGCAGGTTACACATGACCTTGACATCTTTTTTATGGTTCATTGGTCAATATATTTGTTATATGGAATGATTGTAAGGTGCACATGTTTGTCTGGCATGGTTCATCTGACTGTGACCTCATTTTCATAGAACATTGATAATGTTAAGTTTATGTGATACTTGTTGTAAAACCTTCATATTACAGACTTTCAGCATGAATTCAATGATAAGTATAACAGGCGAAACATTTCAGCGTTTATATATCTTCGAAAAACTGAAATCGAACTGACAACACTGTGCTAGCAGTAAAGTAAAAACCATTGATTTCAAATTGTATGTGCCTGCAAGAATTGCATTGTTGAACTAATTATTTAACCTATATATTATATAGACGTTGTATTGAGTATAGTAGCAACACCTGCTCCTAGTGGTAAGTAATACATGCGTGACATGTACACAAGAGTTAATAATATACACTCATTTCATACACACAATATGAAGTAGGTATTATTAGATAGCACTTGAGCAATAAGTAAATTCATCATTTATCTTCTGTTTAAGAAAATTTTTATATTAGATTGAAATTGGTGTTTTTTCTTAGATTCTAAGTTTAATCGTTTGCTTGTTTCTGAATTAACAGTTTCAATTTTTGCACATTACATATCATTTGAAAATAAGCAATGTTTTGTGTATTAAATTTTTTGGTTTTGATAAGCAATCGATGAAATCAGTGAAAATTTGGATCCTGCAAGTAAATGTTCATTCTGATATAGTCTTTTATCCATACACCATTTGTTACAATCTGAAAGTTTTGATCAATTACAGGAAAATACAGGAATAGTCTTCAATATAAAATGAACATCTCATCTGAGATTATTAACTCTCATATTAAATCATATGTTTGGATATTTTATAAATAGGAAATTTATGTTCCTTTCTTGTACAGCACATTCATATAACATTAAGTTTTACAGTGAACTACTTTCATGCCTAAATGTATCTAGCTTAGTTATTTGAAACCTTATATGATGAAATTTCACCATATCATTTCTCTTACACAGTACGGTACTACACGCATAAACCATTTTGATCATTATGACCTACATTTTGTTCCTGAGTGATTAGTATACAGTTATGATAGTGATATAACCTTTAACATCACTGATAGTACTTCAAAATATTGTGTAATGGGGTAAATAGCAACATTCACAGATTAGTGGAATTTTTTATATTTTGATACGGATGAGTCACCATCTAGACAGACACACTGCCTACTTTGTTTTCCATTTTAAATGCCTACTTTGTTTTCCATTTTAAATGCACTTCATCTGTTTTAATTTTTGCATTGCATTATAACATGCATGGCACAATGACTTGCATACTCTTTAACTGTCTTCCTGTTAAAATATTTGCAGAAAATATTTTACAGTCAATGGAAATCAATTTGATGATTGAAAATTGTTGACAAAGTCATGAGAAAATATGAAAATTAATGTATGTAAAATTTATCTCTTCTTTAGAAATAAAATTTTTGTATGGTCACTGTTACCATGAAAGGGTCTATTGTTGTTCAAAAAAAGTATATATTGTCAACCTTTAACTACAGAATACTAGGTTCTATTATAGATGTTATGTGTTAGTAAAATAGAATGAAAATTATTTTATAATATTAGTGATCATGCCAGCGCTAGGATTCCGTGGCAGATCTGGTAAGATGTGTGAGAATAATATCACGGAAGTGGGACCAGGTTTTGGATATGCACTTGATAAGATTTTAATTCCACATTTATATCTATTCTGCTTTTGACTTTTGTTTTTTAAGTTTCGAATAATTATTACTCTTAATAGTAAATCCTGTGAAATATTGTATGTTCCCTTTCCAGACATATTTCTTAATATTCCCTTTACCTGTTAAAATTCCTTAAAATACTATTAAATGTGTGTTGTGTGTGTTTTGATAAAAAAAAAGTCAAGAAAGGCAGTTTTAAACTATCACAACAACACTTCTCTTTTGAGTTGAGTATTGTTGTTTCTTTAATGTAAACAATACATGTTTTGAGGTGTGGGTCTTGTTGTAGTTGATGACATAGTTGGTTTCTTTGGAAAACTTTTAATCTAATGAGATGACACACATTAGTTTTACACTGTTATGGCTGGTAGAAATTTAATATAAATAAGTTAATGGCAGACATGTGGTTGTCTGTGCCAGTGCCTGAAAAAATGAAAAAAAAAATCAAAATAATTAGATCTTTTTTGATTAATCATCAGGAGGCCTATAGTAATTAGATTGTCTTTATGTTGTTCACATATTGTTTCCTCTTATAACTTGAAACCTCTGAGTTCAATAATCAAATTTGATATCATTATTCAATACTACTAGAAGGTGTGTCACATACAATGAAGAAAACCAGACATTGAAAGTCATGGTCAAAAGCTTAGTTCAAATTAGGCACCATTTTACATATGTACAAAAAATGTTTCTGTTTTTTAACTTTAAAACACCTTGTATAGTGGTGCTGAAGCTTGGCATGATTAGTCAGCAATATAATAGAAGGTGTGTCTCATGCACAGAAGAAAACCGTAAATTGAAAATCATGGTCAAAAATTTAGTTCAATTTAGACACCCCTGCGCATATGTACAGAAATCATTTCCTCTCTGTAACTTTCAAATGTGTTTTCTGCTTAATTATATAAGTATGAAATGTAGTATACCACTTTTCTGTATAATCATCAAACATTACTGCAACTGTAACTAAAAAAATAAATGTAACATAAGACTCCATGAGAAATATTTTGAAAAATCCTACAAAAAGCTTATTGCCATAAACTTTCTTGTAAAATGGTGAAACTTGTAAGACTTATGACTGACAAATATATCCACCAATATTATTACAGAAGATCTTATAGTTAAAAACATGGTGTCTAAATGGGGCTTGTTTTAACTGTAATCACCCCTTATGTCACTTTTATAACTGGAAAAGTGAGTCTGTGCTAGGGAAAAAATTCCAACCATAAAAGATTATATAAAGATCTAATACAATTTTAATCAAATGAAAACTATAGCAAAGGTAAGGTCATTTTAGTTCCAGGAAAATATCACACATTTGGAAAACCAGAATGACCTGAATACAGTCCTTCAATTGTTGAAGTATTAATCATTAATATTAAACATGGGTATCGTAACATTAGAATGAGGGGAGGGAAGCTGAAGTCAGAGGCAAGGGAAACAGGAGTCTGGGGGTAGAAACAGGGAGAGGAGGTTGAGTAAAAATAGGTATATCTTGGGGAAAAAATTTTAACCGGTTTTTGTCTGGGAGAAAGTTGGAAGGGAATTGGTAGTTGGGGGTGTATGGAAGGTGGAATCAGGGACTCCCTGTCCAACCACTCATGAAAGCTTTTTGCAGTTGTATTTTTCTTTAAAATGTCACTAGTATATACAGGTAAAAATTTATGTATTCATTCATTCATGTATAATGAATTATAATAATTAACCATTTTCAAATTGTCTAGATGAATCTTTGTTCAATGTTACAAATGTATATTCATTTCAAGATGTGATTATCTGTATTTACCGAATCATATCAGCTGCTTTTGCCATTTAATAAATCCTTTACATTGATCAGAAGAAATGGAAACAAGCTGTTGCATTTCTTTTAATTTCATCTGTAATTAAAAATTATCATGCTTTAAGTCAGTATTTCTGTATAAGCTTTTTGTTTTTGTAAATTCTTTTTTACAGGAAGAAGAAAGTCGCCCCCTCCTCAAAGACCATCTTCTCCCGCAAACCGTGGAATACCTCCTCATCACAGACCTAAAAGTGCTGTTCTACAGGTCAGAGCAGGAACTGAATGGTTGGCTGGAGGACGTGACCTTCACTGGGAAAAGATGTCACAACGACCTCGAAATTCACATGTACCTGGATGGAAAGATGGATTACCGGATAATTTTCAAAGGCCAAAGTCAGCTGTTGCCAATAGGACTTAGTATGTGTCTGATTTTAATTAGAAAATAACCTTATAATTATAATTAGTTAACAATAATACTGTTTCTTTTCAAATTGTGATTGTGCTATATTTTCATTTTTGTCAAGCCTGTGACATTTATGTCGCGGAAGTGAGACATAGCAATCATAGATTCTGTTGTTGGTGTCGGGGGCTTCATCATTTAGGTTCAGTCTGCGGTTAAAATTTTTTAGACATCAATTACTTTGTCAAACCTTCATGGAATTTAAGGGAACTTGGACTTGTGCTTGTTTATGACCAAAATACAGTATCCAGAGCAAAATTTTGAAAATATTTATTTTTGTTTTTCCGTATTTTACTGACAAGTGAACGCATTATTTTTTTTTTTACATTTAACATTCAGATTTAGTCTGAGGTTCAAGTTTTTCAGTCATTAATAACTTTGTCAAACCTTCATGGGATTTTATAAACTTGTTTATGACCAAAAGACAGTAACCAGAGCGAAATTTTGAAAATATTCATTTTCATTTTTCCGTATTTTACTGATAAATGGACTTATTACAGTTAACATTCAGGCTCAGTTTGAAGTTAAAGTTTTTCAATCATCAATAATTTTGTCAAACCTTCATGGAATTTTATGAAATTTGGACAGAAGCTTGTTAATGACTAAAATACAGTATCCAGAGCTAAATTTTGAAAAAATTATTTTCATTTTTCCATATTTTACTGATATATGGACTTAGTTTTTTTTACAGTTAACAAGTATATACAGTCTGGGGTTAAAGTTTGTTACACATCAATAACTTTGTCAAACCTTCATACAATTTTATAAAACTTTGGCATGGACTTAGTTTTTTACAATTAACATTTACAGACAATCTGGGATAGAATTTTTTTGACATGATAAATTTGTAAACCTTCATGGATTTTATGAAACTTGGACTGAAACTAACCTTCAAAACCAAGAAATAGCTTCTAAAATAAAAGAAAGTTTGATTTTTTTCATGAATTCTGTATTTTACTGATAAATGGACTCATTTTTTAGGTCAACATTACACTTTTATACTAACAGCATCCATCACAGGCAAGACACAGGGTTCCATGGAACCCTTACGAATTTTTTATGCCCTAGTTGCTTCACAGAATTTGCAGCATATAGTCTTGTCATTATCAATTAATCTAACATTTTATACTTCTTGGCATGATAATATCAAATTGAATATTTGTATGTGATTAAAATTACCATGCTACTACAAGATAACCAAAGCTAATTATACCATTTTTTTTTATTTTAAGTAAAAATAGATAAAAATGATTATTGATCTACCTGTATCATCTGTGCAATATTATTTTTTACTTCAGTAAAAGATCAAGGGCCTCAACTCCAGTCACACCATCATCACTTGCATATGATAACATGATACATGGTAAGATAGAATAGACTGTAACAAAAGTAAATACGAATAATTTCTCATGAATATTTTCCTGTAAATTTTAAAGTTTATATTGTCTGTTGTAGAAATGATTCTCAGATGTGAATTGTCTACAAATTCCTGCTTATTGCAATCTGATTTAAGTACAGATCTTCTGTGCATGCTAAGCTTACAATGATCTGACAACGATCCATTCTACTTTGTGTTTTAAAGACCTTTCTGGATCCACAATAATACACATCTTACAAAGATTGGAGGCAGAAATTTCATTGGCTGATGTAATAATTACCAGAAGAGAAAGGAGAATGGAGTGTTGTCAGATCCTTGAAGCATGGACAGAGGATCTGTGTTGTTATCTGATTGTCATTATTGTTATCTGATTGTCATTATTGTTGAATACAGAAAAAGCAAAATCAATTATTTGCACAGTGGAATACCTATTAATGGTGTAGTTGTCACATGAAAATTTCTGTTCTAACCATTTAAATATGATTCTTGCTCATTAGCTGACCAATCGGTTGAAGTAGAAGAAGACATGAAAATAAAAACTTTGGTATGGAATTTACTGCTTTGGTTTGGGCATTGATGTAGATGCATTTTAGATTTGCATTGGTTTATCCTTTACCAGTTATGATAGGGTTTTGGCACTATTCAGTTTACCACATTATGGCTTAGAAGGGTTTGTTCATTCATTTTCACTAAGGGAAGCACATTTTTTCATTAACTTATGCTTTTGTTGGCTATGTCAGAGATAGTATTTTTAATAGCATTACCTTTTTATTTCCAGTTTTATTTTAAAAACTTCTTCAATCTTTACACAGAAACTTTATAAATAGAATAATGTAAATATTTCAAAGCTTTATGAGTAGTGTGCCTTGATAACTATCTTTTTTTTTTAATTTTATTTATATATTGGGGGAAAGGTGTCCTTTTCCAGTTATTTGCTTTGCACATTTGTCCTGTTGTCTTGCTGGAAGCTTGGTTTAAATTTTATAAGGTAGAACATGACCATATGAAATATTCCAGGAAGTTTCAAATTTATTATTGGTCAAAGGTTAACATTTAATGGTCATTTTAGTTACTTTGCCAAACAACTATAATTATGATTATTAAACCTTCCACTAATTTAAAAGGAGCTAATTTTGAGCTTTTTGGCTTTTATATTGGCTTTATTACGAGTCTATTGGACAACAGTAGCCTAAACATTCAGATAATCATGTAGATCAAGCAATATGGCCACCATCACTATAATTAGACCATGTGAAACACTAAACACTGCAATTGAAGAATCTATTGTTACCAAAGGAAAAGGACCAGGAAGGCATAAAATTGTACCTTCTAATATCATGCCTAAATACCAATATTAACAATCTAAAATATGCAAATTTAGATATATAAACATTTTTTCTGTTTACTCTTTCTTTTAGAAAAAGTTGATAGCCTCAAAAGTATGATGATTAAGCATTTTTTAGCCATATTTCCTATATAAATTCATTTTATACCCTATCATGGAATGAGGGGCATATAATGTTTCACACTTGTATGTCTGTTCTTTCCATGAAATTTTTAACAATATTTTTACATAAAGGAGGTGTGTGATAAATTTCACCAGTTAATTCAGAAAAATGGGTATATGCCAGGTGAGCAATGTATTATTCTTGAAGCCTCTAATTAGGTATAAAGATGTCCATTTATTTTCCATTTTTAGTCTGTGAATGTTGTAAGTAGCAGATGTTTGTTATTTTTACATATATTTTTTACCTTATTCTTGATAATCTTCTACAGATACCAGTTGTCATTGATAAACAAGTGAGTGGGGATTTTTAAGGCTTTGCATAACCAGTTGAGAGTGGGAAAATAAAGTAATCACTACGTCAGACATAATTTCATGTTTCAGAATTTTCTTTGTTTTGGGGGTAAAGACTTTTTTCTATCTGAAATTATTCTAAAACTTTATTTGGATCAGTTTGGTAGATATTTAGGTTTTTTATGTAAGAATTCACTCACTGCATTCTTGAAATCAATGAAAATTGGTACTTGATAACCATTAGTAATTTCACATTGAAATATCACCAGTTATCCCACACTAGTATTACTATAGCAATAAACAGTGGTTGTTTCAGAAGCATACCTTATTGTGTTGGCATTATATTAAATTCACCCCCATGTTTTAACACTAAATTATGTCTCTCAACTCATAGTGACTGAGTCTCATACCCAAGGTAACATTTAGACAGGCTCAAAAATTTATGTAGTTTATTTTGATTATATTGGAATTACTTTTGTATTTTTACAATCCTTGTCCAGTTTTGATCTTTTTGATAGTAATTAAAAAAGGAGCATACAAAGAAATAATTTCATATTATTTTGCTTCCAAATATGATTAGCTGTATATTATTACTGTTAATGCATCCCAATAACTTCTAAAAGAATTTTAATGAAAGTTAATTGTTGAGTATGCAGTTGTATAGAATTAAGAAATTATATTTAAAAAAGAAACACAAACATTCAAAATAAACAATAAATTTATATGTCTAAAATGGTGTAGAAATAACTACTGTTTACATGCTGATGAAACTTACTTAAGCTTACAGTCACTAATTAATGTACTGCACAACCAAATATTACCTACTCTTTTTTTATGTACATGAAATCTTCAAATATTGTTTTTGAGAGGGTGTTTTGGAGAGAGAGAGAAAGAAAGCAACAACATATGAAATGATTTGTCCTTGTGCTTTCACCAAAGTAACACCAAGTGTGTGAAATTATGGATATTTTCTGTTCCTCAATTAATATGAGTTAATAATCTTTTATGTTATACCAATTTCATTTAGTTACTTACATACACACTGACACAGATACAATTCAAAACTTTTAAAAGAAAATTCAAAATTTTTGTTTTTTCTTTAGTATATCAATCATATTGTATCACATCATTTCTTAGGTAAAGCAAATTTTAGTTTTAAGCCTATTATATCTATATGTTACATATGAATTTCTTCTGATGCAGTTGTCTTTGTCTATTCATAACACACTATACTCCTTTGAGCCCATTTGCCAGTCAGCTTTCATTCATGATAGAATGGTTTGTTATGATTTGTGCTGGACCATACAGCCATTTTGATTTGTCACTTTGTTGGAGTAATTGTGCTATTGTTACATAATGCACCTAGTGAAAACTACTCCTGAAAAAAAATGCTGGAAAACTTCTATATTAGGTAGGATTATTTGTCATCATGTGTTGTTGGCCAAACTGTAACATCCGTTTAGTTTTGACAATTTTTGCAGGAGTTGTGTGACTTTGACCATAAATAAGAATAACATATAAATATCATAACTTCTAAGTGGAAAGAAAGTAAAAAGCATGTGTTTGCATCTACATTACTCTTATTGTACAGCACAGTTTTGTTGATTCCTGCTCTTTATGCTTCAGCCAGTGTGTTTAAGCTTTGCATTAGGCTCATTTCTCAGAAAATTTTGAAATTTTAACACTTTACCTACTCCCTATGATGGAATAAAGGACATTGATCCTATACATTCTTTTCTTTTCCCATAATACACCATTTTCTTTCCTTGAACACAAAACCTATATATTATGCTTTGAGACTGATTATGTTTGGTGTTTTGGAAATATTGATGTCAAACTCCAGCAAGCAAATGTAATAGCATCTAAAATCTATATGGCTACATATTTAAAGGTCATCACAGTTACTATCTTACTGATAAACTATTAAGCAAGTAGAAATTGTTCTCTTTTTTAATCTTACTAAACAATACAACAAAATGACTTTAAATACTTTTTAGGTACACCATGATATAACATCTGTAAGTCTATAATATCTTTGCATTATGATTTTATATATATTTCAAATTTGAATTTATTCTGGTCTGGAATCAATCACCATTGTAATGTATTATTGTGTGAAATAGTGTTGTAAACAATTTTGTGCAGTATACAGTTCAGGATTTTAATTGTGTGCAGTATACAGTTCAGGATTTCAATTTTGTGCAGTATACATTATAGGATTTGATATAAACATAAAGGGATGTTAATCTAAAAACTTTCATATTTCAGCAAGTTACAGTTTTAAAGCATAAATATGAATGGAAGGTACATTATAAGTTTGTAATGGGGTAGATTTAGTTGTAGTAGGATACAGTTTAGAGGATAATTTTAGTTCTTTGCATATCATGACTTGTTTTGGCTGAATGCACAGTGTATGTTTGCAACAGATCATTATCATGAATAAAAATTAGTTGTATAAGAATTTTTTTACCCTTTTTAAACTTTAGGTGTTGTAGAGGGCAGCACTGATTATAAAGTCAAAAAGCACCCAAAACCAAAAAAGTACTACATATTAAACTGAGCTAATGACAAGAACTTCTTAAAACTTTTTAAGGAGATTGCAATGGTTTTCAAATTTAGTTTTTGGAGAGAACATATGACTATATAAATTGAAATAAATATATGTCTAAATCTTCAGAGGAACCATCTAATCTTAAGGTACAATTATTCACTAACTAGGCAGTTTTAATTTCACTTATAGTGAAAATAGAGAAATTTACCACATATGGCTTTCCTGTAAAATTATTCTTAAAGCTTACATTTTAGTATTCTGATCATTGAGGAGTGTTGTCTTGTTCGTAGTTTAAATTCCAGCTTGTTAGTTGCGTATATGTCAGAGGAAATTCTTATTGAATATTTTACAATTCTATTGAATATTTTACAATTCATTGTTTCAGAAAACTGATATTTTTCGATTGTAAGTCTTAAAAGTTTGAATTTTATGTATGGTATATTTCTTCATGGTCAGCACTATTTACTGATAAATGTTATTGTGTTTATGATGGATGTGGGCTTTGGATTGTTTACACGTCTGCTCATATTCACTAGGGAAGCACTGGTATTTTTAATATCATCTCCCTTATTATATTAATTAAATCAAAGGCAACACAATTTTGTCAAAATTGATGTAAACTTGCATTTCATAGTGAAGAATGTCTAAAATCATTTCACAAAATTTTCCTGTTGATTGAGACAAAACTTTTTTATTGTATGAATGCTCCCCAGGAATTAAACCTGTAAAAACAAATATTGACAATTTCTCTCTATTTAAATTTTTTTTTAAATCTGTAAATGATAGTACTTTTTCAGCAATTATGGACTGTCAAATTGTCAAACTATTATTAAATTTCAGTCATACTGCAAGGACTTTTGATTTTTTGTATCGTTCAGATAATGATTTTGGATTTAAAAGTTGTATGTATCAAGAAGTATTTATGATAGACCATTTATATATGGTATGCTTTTCTTTTTAGCAATGATGTATTATATGATGAAGCAGTATTATGACAGATATTCTCTCATTCTTCCTTCAATTACTTTTGGCATTTTTATTCTGTTTAAATATTTTTCTGATTAACAAGTACTTGTGATGGATGATTAATATATGGCATGATGTTTGCATTACCATAAATTCATGTCAGTTTCAAGTAAAATGTGAGGTCTTTACTGTATTGAATATTGTTTTCTTAGTCCAGTTTCCAAAAAATGTGCCTAGAATGACACTACATCAGATTACATTTATTCATTTTGCTGCAAACTTGGCAGAATGTTTTTTTGCAGTTATAGTTTTATAACTGAATGCTTGGAAATCTTCCAAGAAAAAAACCTATTAGAATTGTATTTAAACATGTGAATGTTTAGTTGAGTGGACCAGTATTATGAAAGAGTCTTAGGTTTGTAAGAAAGACATTTTTGTCGAGCCTGCGACTTTTGTCGCAGAAAGCTCGACATAGGGATAGTGATCCGGCGGCGGCGGTGTTAGCTAACTTCTTAAAAGCTTTATATTTTAGAAGGTGGAAGGTCTGGATGGTTCATACTTTGTATATGGATGCCTCATGTTACGAAGTTTCCGTCAGTCACATGTCCAATGTCCTTGACCTCATTTTCATGGTTCAGTGACTACTTGAAAAAAAAGTTCAGATTTTTTGTAATGTTAGATTCTCTCTTATTATAAGTAATAGGATAACTATATTTGGTATGTGTGTACCTTGCAAGGTCCTCATGGTTCAGTGGTTATAGTTAAGTTTTTGTGTTTTGGTCTGTTTTTCTTATACTGTATGCCATAAGTCTACTTTATTTGGTGTATGGAATGATTGTAAGGTGTACATGTCCAGCGGGCAGGTGTCATCTGACCTTGACCTCATTTTCATGGTTCAGTGGTCAAAGTTAAGTTTTTGAGTTTTGGTCTTTTTTTCTAATACTATATGCAATAGTTCAACTATATTTGGTATGTGCGTACCTTGCAAGGTCCTCATGCCCGTCAGACAGTTTTCACTTGACCTCGACCTCATTTTATGGATCAGTGAACAAGGTTAAGTTTTGGTGGTCAAGTCCATATCTCAGATACTATAAGCAATAGGTCTTGTATATTCGGTGTATGGAAGGACTGTAAGGTGTACATGTCCAACTGGCAGGTGTCATCTGACCTTGACCTCATTTTCATGGTTCAGTGGTTATAGTTAAGTTTTTGTGTTTTGGTCTGTTTTTCTTATACTGTATGCCATAGGTCTACTTTATTTGGTGTATGGAATGATTGTAAGGTGTACATGTCTAGCGGGCAGGTGTCATCTGACCTTGACCTCATTTTCATGGTTCAGTGGTCAAAGTTAAGTTTTTGAGTTTTGGTCTTTTTTTCTAATACTATATGCAATAGTTCAACTATATTTGGCATGTGCGTACCTTGCAAGGTCCTCATGCCCGTCAGACAGTTTTCCCTTGACCTCGACCTCATTTTATGGATCAGTGAACAAGGTTAAGTTTTGGTGGTCAAGTCCATATCTCAGATACTATAAGCAATAGGTCTTGTATATTCGGTGTATGGAAGGACTGTAAGGTGTACATGTCCAACTGGCAGGTGTCATCTGACCTTGACCTCATTTTCATGGTTCAGTGGTTATAGTTAAGCTTTTGTGTTTTGGTCTGTTTTTCTTATACTGTATGCCATAGGTCTGCTATATTTGGTGTATGGAATGATTGTAAGGTGTACATGTCTAGCGGGCAGGTGTCATCTGACCATGACCTCATTTTCATGGTTCAGTGGTCAAAGTTAAGTTTTTTGAGTTTTGGTCTTTTTTTCTAATACTATATGCAATAGTTCAACTATATTTGGTGTATGGAAATATTTTATGATCTATTTGGCAGTCACGCAGGTTTTATTTGACCTTGACCTCATTTTCAAGGTTCATTGCTCAGTGTTAAGTTTTTGTGTTTTGGTCTGTTTTTCTTAAACTATAAGCAATAGGTCAACTATATTTGTTGTATGGAAGAATTGTTAGCTGTACATGCCTGCCTAGCATGGTTCATCTGACCTTGACCTCATTTTGATGGTTCATTGGTCAATGTTTAGTTTACTTGGTTAATGTTAAGTTTATGTGACAGTTGTAATAAAGCTTTATATTTAGGACTATCAACATAATATCAATGATTAGTAAAGAAGGCGAGACATTTCAGCGTGTGCACTCTTGTTACTAAATAGCATAACTTAATGCACATATTATTTTAAAAAGTTATATTTTGAAGCACATTTTACATTTTTTAAAAAATCCTTTAGGAAGCATCAGTAGCTCAAACCTGACCCCTCTCCCAATATTTTTACTGTAATAAATGTCAAATTATTCCCTCCATTTGATGTTTTTGGGGCCAATTGGTGATTACACAGAATAAGTAAACCAAATGAAAAAGTTAAAGTCAAGTTTGAGTTACTATGGTTTGAGATGTGTCACAAACACTAATACACTTTTCCTTTTTTTCCTCACTAGGTTGGCGTTCCCCTCAAGGTTCCTTACCCGAATTAACTGATCTTTCTGATTATTATCACCCTCATCAACAACACCTTTTACGGATGCTCGGCTCATCACCACAGACAGGCCAATCACACTTCTATAACCCGCCACCACAAGATACAGTTTATAGGTAGAGCTAGTCACATCCAAAAATAATGTTGTGCCATATTAAATCATGATGCTTTTTATACTGACAAATTTGCATTTGACTTTTTTAAGGCAAATATAAGTAAATTATAATAATAATTTTGTAGTAATGCTTGCATGATGCCTCATATCTTAATGCCTTTCATAAAGATTCATTTAGTCATGTCACATTTTGTACTAAAATAATTTTCATTTTATTTAGCAATGTTAATTTCATTTGTGATAATCACTGTTCTAAATATCAGTAAAACATTTCTTATGCTGCATTTTATAGTTTTTAATTTGAATGTGATTAAACTATAGCTTCCTATTTTGTATAAGACATTATTTTTTATTTAGATATAATAGTCTTGGATGTGTATGAAACTTTAAATAAAAGCCTTGAGTAAGCATTTCTGAAATTATATTTGTTTTGAATTTTAAAAGTTTCATTTGATAATTATGTTTGCTAAATTTGAAACTCATCTCGAAAAAAAAAATTTTGAATTATAAATATTTAGGAAGAACATGACAATTTAAGTGTTATAATCTTAAAGTCAAGCGACATGATACCAGAGAGAGTACTTGTGCACAACATTAAGGTCACAATTGACCAGATGTGTTTCTTAGCTTAACCTATTGACATTGTTAACTTGTGTTGGTGTGTGCCTGACTGTGAATTCTATGGTGGTGGGATCTGCAATTTGTACGGAGTGCTGTGCCTTTGTCATTTCTTCATCAGATAGTTTTTCATTTTACTCAAATGGTAAGCATGTTTGTAGTATAAGTATATTAATATAATTCACATGATTAATGGAAGTTATTCTGCAATACAATTTATTTTTAAGCAACAATCAATAACATTTTTTTAGAAGGCATGATTCTTTGAACTTGTATATCTAAAAATTTTATAATTAGTTTTTGTCTCGCCTTGACGGAGTCAAAAAGCGAGACATAGGTATGCTGTTTCCAGTGATGATGACGACGGCGGTGTCAACAATGTATTAGTTTGTGATTAGGTCTAGTTCATGGTGAACCACTAGTGGTAGGTCAATGATATTTGGTATGCAGTTGTATTAGCATTGGTACATCTCATTACCATGGAGATTATTTGGCCCCGCCCCCTCAGTCAAGGTTTATTGACTTTGAAACTTTGCTTAGTGTACATGTATTAGTTTGTGATTAGGTCAGTTTATGGGGAACCACTAGTGGTAGGTCAATGATATTTGGTATGCAGTTGTATAAGCATTGGCATATCTCATTTCCATGGAGATTATTTGGCCATGCCCCCTCATTCATGGTCTATTGACTTTGAAACTTTTGCTTAGTTTTCATGTATTAGTTTGTGATTAGTTCAGTTTAAGATGAACCACTTATGTTAAGTCAATGATATTCGGTATACAAATGTATTGGTTCAGTTTAAGATGAACCACTTATGTTAAGTCAATGATATTCGGTATACAAATGTATTGGCATTTGCAAGTTTAATTTCCATGGAGATTATAAAACCCCCTTCCCCTAATTATGGTTCATTGACTTTGAAACATTTACATAGTTTACAAGTTAATGTTTGTGTTTGGGTTTGTTTAAAGGGAAAGACTTATGAAAAGTCAATGGTATTTCATAATTTGGTTTGCAGTTGTATTAGCATTGGCACATCTCATTTCCATGGAGATTGTTTAGACCCTATAAAAGTATGTTCTTGAAATGAGCTTTCAGGCTAGTAGGTATAAAAGTTTTTGGCACAGACTGTGACACTATATGGTTCTTTTAAAGAAACCATGTAAAGCTTTTTAAGGGGAAGTAAAATAATATAAATAAATGAGGAAAACTGAACAGGTAAAGGTAATCATAAAATAAATCCAAATTAACAGTAAAATACAATTTAGAGATTATTAAAACTGACAAAAATGGAAGAGGAAATTCAAATAAAAGTCATCAATGGTTTCTGTACATTCTAAGCTTGACTGCTAATTAAAAAAAAGTTAAATTCTGTATTTGTAAATATAAGATTAAGATAAGTTTTAGTTGATGAATCAATCCTGGAAAGAAGATTAAATGAAAGTAAAGTGAAATTACTTTTATTTTAATGATTTAGACATGTAATTAAATTTGAAAAAAGTGAAATATGGCTTAATTTACAGAACAAGCAAAGCACCAAACAATTGAAAAAAGCAGGAGAAAGGTCATGCTTTTGAAAAATAAGTTTTATGATTTAGCTCCTAACATTTCAACATATTTATACATTCTTGGCTTTCAAACAGAAAAAATAAGAAGATGTGGTATGATTGCCAATGAGACAGCTCTCCACCAGAGACCAATGACAAATAGATATAAGAAGACGTGGTATGATTGCCAATGAGACAGCTCTCCACCAGAGACCAATGACAAATAGATATAAGAAGATGTGGTATGATTGCCAATGAGACAGCTCTCCACCAGAGACCAATGACAAATAGATATAAGAAGATGTGGTATGATTGCCAGTGAGACAGCTCTCCACCAGAGACCAATGACAAATAGATATAAGAAGATGATGTATGATTGCCAATGAGACAGCTCTCCACCAGAGACCAATGACAAATAGATATAAAAAGATGTGGTATGATTGCCAATGAGACAGCTCTCCACCAGAGACCAATGACAAATAGATATAAAAAGATGTGGTATGATTGCCAATGAGACAGCTCTCCACCAGAGACCAATGACAAATAGATATAAGAAGATGATGTATGATTGCCATTGACAAATAGATATAATGATCCTTCCTGAAGAAGGTAAACCTAGAAAGCTCCTAGGAAGCACTAAATTTATCAAGTGTTATTTTTGTTTTCTATATACCAGTGAGACCCTTAATAAATAAAAATAGTCTCTGGTAAATATTTTTTAACTTCCAACACCATTTAAGAAAGTTACAAATTACAATAAGATGTAATTTTTCAAATATTTTATTCTCTTTACTGACTGAATTTTCAGAAACAGTATTCACATTGGCAGAATAGACCACTTTCGAGTTATGTCTTTCACCGGAAAAGTTCGTCAATTATGCACACCTTTATGACATCATTTACCAGATAGAGGGGATTGCCTGTATCCCTGCACTATCAAAGTTCATCAAGTGTCTTCGTGATCCTCATTATGCAGGATAAACTAGAAATAATGTTTGTTCTGAAGGTACTTAATCACAATTCCCCAATGACAGCAGTGCTGATTATCAATTATAAAAATTTAATTTGCTGAATAATTCATGCATTAAAGCATTATATTTTTTTAACCAATCGCTCAACACGGGAAGGAAGTGATGATGCCCTTAAACACACAAATGATGTTCACTAAAACCAAAGTTTTTGACAGAAATGCATAGAACTCAAAAGTGGTCTATTACAGTTTTCTTATGTGAAACACAGTCAGATCAATCCTACCTAAAATATTATTAATAAGAAATATAAATTTGATGTTTTTAAAGTTTGACTCTCCTCATGAATCAAAATACAGCTCATACAGATTTTTAAAGATGTCTTTGTATATATTTACTTTCAGCACTCCCCCCTGCAGTCCTCGTGCCAATAGCCCTATAAAGATTCTACACCTGGACTGCATCATTGAGACAGAAGATACAGCATTCTGTTCCAGAGCAGAAAGCCCTACTCTACAAGATGTGCCAATTTAGAAATACTTCGTCGATTTATTTTTGATGATCTTTAATCTTTAATTACTTTTTTAGCTCACCTTACCCAAAAGGGTCAAGTGAGCTTTTCTCATCACTTGGCATCCGTCGTCCGTTAACTTTTACAAAAATCTTCTTCTCTGAAACTACTGGGCTAAATAAGACAAAACTTGGCTTAAATCATCCTTAGGGTATCTAGTTTAATAAATGTATCTGATGACCCGCCCATCAACCAAGATGGCCGCCATGGGGGTAAAATGCAGTTTTTTGCTTATATCTCTGAAACTAAAGCATTTAGAGCAAATCCGACAGAATAAAAATATTCATCAGGTCAAGATCTATCTGCTCTGAAATTTTCAGATGCATCAGACAACTTGTTGTTGGGTTGCTGCCCCTGAATTGGTAATTTTAAGGAAATTTTTCAGTTTTTGGTTATCTTGAATATTATAATAGATAGAGATAAACTGTAAACAGCAAAAATGTTCAGCAAAGTAAGCTCTACAAATAAATCATACGATCAAAATTGTCAATTGACCCCTTCAGGAGTTATTGCCCTTTAAAGTCAATTTTTCGTAAATTTTTGTAATCTTTTACAAAAACTTCTCCTGAAATTACTGGGCCAAGTTAAACCATACTTGGCTTAAATCATCCTTAGGGTATCTAGTTTAAAAAATGTATCCAATGACCACGCCCACCTACCAAGATGGCCGCCATGGCTAAAAATTGAACATAGAGGTAAAATGCAGTTTTTGGCTTATATCTCTGAAAATAAAGCATTTAGAGGAAATGTAACGGGGTTAAAATGTTCCATCAGGTCAACATGACCAAAATTGTCAATTGACCCCTTAAGGAGTTATTGTCCTTTAAAGTCAATTTTTCATAAATTTTTTTAATCTTTTACAAAAATCTTATCCTCTTAATCTACTTGGCCAAATGGAATTAAACTTAGCCACAATTATTATTCTTGATTGAAAAATGTATTCCATGACCCTGCCCTACAACCAGCATGGTCCCCATTGGTAAAAATAGAACATAGGGGTTTACTATAGAAGTATATGTGAAAAATGTAAAAAAAAAACAATTTCAGATGGTCACAACTTGAAAACTAATTTAAATAATGATAAGTGGTCTTCAGTTACTATTGTAAGACTACAATGGGATGACTTGATTTTTTTTCCAGGGGGTGCAATTTTTTTTGGGGGGTGGGGTGTAGCTAATAATTTCTCCTTGATATGTTCCATATTCAGAATTATTCAGTGTTACTTCTTTTATAAACCATTATTATATCTTTTCTTTCAGCATACTTATATTGGGTGAATGACCTGGTGGGTTAGTCAGGGTCAGGGGATCCCCTGCTGAATTTTTTTTTGAAGGGTGTTCCATAAAAACATTTTATAGGCATTTTCAGCATTATACAGGCACTGGGTAAAATAAATTTTGGAGCGAAGGAAAGGAAATTTTTTATTTTTTGTTAATTATCTTGAATATCATTATAGATTGAGATAAACTGTAAACAGCAAAAATATCAAGCAAAGAAAGATCTACAAATAAGTTAACATGACCAATTGGCAATTGACATCTTATTGGAGTTATTGTCCTTTAAAGTTATTTTCTGCAATTTATTGGTAATTTTTGTAAATCTTTTCAAAAATCTTCTGCTTTTGATTTAACTACTGGGCCAAATTAAACCAAACTTGGCCTCGATCATTATTAGGGTATCTATATAATTTTAACCTTATTTTACTCGATTTCCAAAACCACAGTACATATAGGTGAGCAACACAGCTCTTGAAAGCCTCTAGTTTTATAATCAATTTGTTACGTGTTTTATTGTGCTTTTTCTTCTTCATTAAAACAAATAACAAAATTATGATTATCATCTGTATATTCAAGCACTAAATTCTTAAGTTTTAGGACCTGAACACAAGTATTTAAAGAAATATGTATGTTTTATTTACACTTAATTTTAAATTCATTCATAATCACCGATTTGTCCCTATTGTGATATTGAATAGTGTTACATAAATTTTCAGGACATGTATGTATAATCAATGCTGAGGGTTTTCATTTATGAATTCTTTTATTGCTAAGGCCATTTTCTTTAAAAAAAAATATTTAAAAATGGACTGTTATTTATATTTTATCTCCCCTTATTCAAAATTCTTTTTTTTTTTTCCTTTTTTTTTTGGCTGACTTTTTTATTAGTTTTTTTAGCCCATTATTCTGTCAACCACAAACAGACCTCATTGCTTTGAAAATATGAAGAAAAGGATACATTCTTTTTTAATGTATTTATATTTTTATACGGCCACAAAAAAATTTTTGTGGTCGTATATTGGTATGACGTTGGCGTCGTCGTCGTCGTCCGAAGACACATTAGTTTTCGCACTCTAACTTTAGTTTAAGTGAATGGATCTCAATGAAATTTTACCATAAGGTTCAATACCACAAAAGGAAGGTGGGAATTGGGGGTTATGGTACCAACAGTTAAGGAAAAAGGGGCCAAAAATAAGCATTTTTCTAACTTCCAGACATAACTTGTGTGTAAGTGTATGGATCTCTCTGACATTGTACCACAAGGTTCCATATCACAAAGGGAATGCTGGGATTGATTTTGGGGGTAATTGCGTCCAAATTTTAGGAATTAGGGGCCAAAAAAGGGAAAAAAACAAGCATTTTTCTAGTTTCCAGACAATAACTTGTGTGTAAGTGTATGGATCTCTCTGACATTGTATCACAAGGTTCCATATCACAAAGGGAATGCTGGGATTGATTTTGGGGGTAATTGCCTCCAAATTTTAGGAATTAGGAGCCAAAAAGGGGCAAGAAACAAGCATTTTTCTAGTTTCCAGACAATAACTTGTGTTCAAGTGTATGGATCTCTCTGAAATTGTACTACAAGGTTCCATATCACAAAGGGAAAGCTGGAATTGAGTTTGGGGGTAATTGCCCAAAAAGTTTAGGAACAAGGGGCCAAAAATAAGCATTTTTCTAGTTTCCAGACAATAACTTGTGTTCAAGTGTATGGATCTCTCTGAAATTGTACTGCAAGGTACCATACCACAAAGGGAAGGCTGGAATCGATTGTGGGGGTAATTCCCTCAAAATCTTAGTATTTAGGGGCCATAAAAGGGCAAAAAAACAAGCATTTTTCTAGTTTCAGGACAATAACTTGTGTGTTAGTGTATGGATCTTTATGAAATTGTACTGCAAGGTTCCATATCACAAAGGGAAAGCTGGGTTTAAGTTTGGGGGTAATTGCCCTAAATGTTTAGGAATTCGGGGCCAAAATGGGGCCAAAAAACAAGCATTTTTCTAGTTTCCAGACAATAACTTGTGTTCAAGTGTATGGATCTCTCTGAAATTGTACTGCAAGGTACCATACCACAAAGGGAAAGCTGGAATTGAGTTTGGGGGTGATGAATCATAAGGGGGTTCAAAAAATTGGGGGGGGGGATTTTTTTTTTCTTTAAAATTTTCCATTTTAAATTGGTTATTTCTGATTTATATATAAAAGCAAATAATAATGATATGGTTTGAATAGGTAAATTAAAAATTTTTAAGTTCTTAGACCACTTTCATTCTGTGTGCAAAACCTATGCTGTGTCAAATATTTAATTACAATCCAAATTCAGTGCTGTATCAAACTTGAATGTTATGTCCATACTTGCCCCAACTGTTCAGGGTTCGACCTCTGCGGTCGTATCAAGCTGCGCCCCAGCAGAGCATTTTATTTACATGTATTATACATTAAAACATGACAAATTTCATATTAATAAAATAAGGTTATAATTAATGATCAGTAGATGTCATTTGATTTTTGCAAAAAAAAAACTTGATATAATGCTTTTATGATTAGAAACAATTGTACTAAATTTTGGTAGTTTATATATTGCTGCATGAATGTCTCTGAGAGCATTTGTTTATGGCATTATAAATGAGTTATTAGTATATGTAATGAGATTTTTCAATCATTTTTTTTTTTAATAAGGCTTTTGCTATTTTAGATTCTAGAAGCTGATGCATTACTTAATGTTTGTCTTTTTAGCTCACTTGGCCCAGAGGGCCAAGTGAGCTTTTCTCATCACTTGGTATCCGTCGTCTTTAACTTTTACAAAAATTTCTCCACAAAAACTTATGGGCCAAATTTAACCAAACTTGACCACAATCATCATTGGGGTATCTAGTTTAAAAAAAGTGTCCGATGACCCCGCCTGCCAACCAAGATGGCAGACATGGCTAAAAATAGAACATAAGGGTAAAATGCAAGTTTTGTCTATTATTTTGAAAACCGTTATAAAAAGAGAAAATCTGTTCAGAATGTTGTGCTCTACCAATTGTTCCTATATGTCAAAACTGTCAGACAACTTCTTATAGGAGTTATTGCCCTTAAATGACAAATTTTACCATTTTTTTACATTTTTGCCTGTTATCTTGAAAACTATAATAGATATGGAGAAACTTTAAATGCAAAAATGATCAACAAAACAAGATCTACAAATAAGTTTTATTGTCGAAATTGTCAGTCGACTCCTTATTAGAGTTATTGTCCTTTGATGACGATGTATACCAATTTTTTGTAGAGCCTGAGACTTTTGTCGCAGAAAGCTCAACATAGGGATAGTGATCCGGCGGCGGGGGCAGCAGCGTTAGCTAACTTCTTAAAAGCTTTATATTTTAGAAGTTTGAAGATCTGGATGCTTCATACTTTTTATATGGATGCCTCATGTTACGAAGTTTCCGTCAGTCACATGTCCAATGTCCTTGACCTCATTTTCATGGTTCATTGGTCAATGTTTAGTTTAATTGGTTAATGTTAAGTTTATGTGACAGTTGTAATAAAGCTTTATAATTAAGACTATTAACATAATATCAATGATTAGTAAAGACGGCGAGACATTTCAGCGTGTGCACTCTTGTTGTGTTTTTGCCTTATATCTTAAAAATTATAATAGATAGATAGAAACTTAAATAAGCAAAAAAGTCAGCAAGATAATATCTACATTTTTTTGGGGGGGTTTTGCCATATATAATAAAAATTATAATAGATAAATAGACACTTTAAATCACAACAATGATCAGCAAGGTAACATCTACTAACAAGTAAAATTCTGCCGATATAGTTAGTAGACTGTCACTCTTTATAGGAGTAATTGCCCTTAAATGAGGATTTTTTCTCCTGTTTTATGTTTTGAGCAAAAACTAAAGTAGAAAGAGAGAAACTAAACAGACTAGATGATCAGCAATACAAGATTAACAAAACAGAGATTTTTGTCATGAATTATTAATCTCGTCTACAATATAGGAGAGTGTCCTTTGTTGAATATGCACATAGACCAAGGTGAGCGACACAGGCTCTGAAGAGCCTCTAGTTAAATGAAGTTTGTGTATTTATTAATGATTAATTGCTTGCTCAGATATCATGACAATGTATGTCCTTTGACTGTCATCGAAATGAAATATGAATACATTGCTCATACACTTAATTTGTGTATAGATATATATATAATGCGTTTTGTTAAAATATACTTTTTCACTTTTTTGGTCTTTTGGAAAATGTTGTTTGTGCTGTATTTAGACCCCTCTACCAAGAAATTTGTTTTGCATGCACACGTATAAAAATTGCGGTTTTTATCCAACGCAATCATAGGTTTGAACGTTGTTTTCAATTTAGACTTGGATATAAATATATATACCTCTTGCTGTTACTATAATATGAATAGGTGTTGTGTCAAGTTATTTTACATTAGACTGTTTTTTATAGAATGATTCATTCCGTCCACAATTTAAAGATGCCAAATATTATGTTAAATGAAATAAGATATGTTTTTTGTTATTTTCTGTTAAAAATTGTTTTGCCATTTTTTATAAACTCTTCCTCAATAATGAACCATGATAATTTGTTTACAGCTGATTTTTTATGGCAAATGTTGAAGTTCCTTAGATTTGTTGTTAAGAAATATTCAGTTCCTTTGTTTAAGAATAATTACATTGACGCTGTATATTATATCCTCAATCTATGAGTGGGGCTTGATTGAAATCACACATCTATCAATTTCATTTAAAAATCTTTTATAACTAATGCAACTCAAAACTTAAATTTGAACAGTCTCAGGCTATTATAACTGTTTTGGACTATAAAAAATAGAATGAATTGATATTGTTGTCACATCTTACACTGATTCTTCTAGCAGATACCAAATTTCAATAAAATCCACCTCACAGATTAATAATTAGATAGTAATTTTCTGTTGAAAAGAGATCACTGCTGCCATTATCCACCATTTTCATTGCTGATGAGTTTAACTGACAACAAAGGGACTGTTGAAACAGATCTTGCTTATGTTTATGTGATAGTAAATTTTATTACATTTTATAAATACACTGAGTAATCTATTTCTTTTACATTGTTGATATGGTTACATGAAATTTATGGGATCAAACAAATAAAATTTATAGAAACTTCTTTGCTAATTTGTTGAATTTTGATGACTGAGTAAGTAAAACATGTTGATACAATCTTTACACTCTGTGTTTTTGTTAGATGTATTTCTATTTGTATCCATCTGATTAGTTAAGCCTTTTTCTTTATGATTTTTATAGTTTGTTCTTATGTTGTACTGTTACACCACTGTCCCAGGTTAGGTGGAGGGTTGGTGCCTTCAAACGAATATAACCCCACCACATTCTGTATGTGCCTGTTCCAAATCAGGAGCCTGTAATTCAGTGGTTGTCGTTTGTTGCTGTGTAACTTATTTGTTTTTTGTCCATTATTTTGTAAATAAATTAGGCCGTTAGTTTTCTTGTTTGAATTGTTTTACATTTGTCATTTCGGGGCCTGTTATAGCTGACTATGCGGTATGAGCTTTGCTCATTGTTGAAGGCCATTCGGTGACCTATAGTTGTTAATTTCTGTGTCATTTGGTCTCTTGTGGAGAGTTGTCTCATTGGCAATCATACCACATCTTCTTATTTTTATATTTACAGCAGTTTTGATGTTGAAATGTTGTCTTGTGATTAAACTTGGTTTAAATAATTATACCCCTGTTCCAACTGAGTAGGGGTATAATTGTCTACATCTGTACCTCTGTAAAATATTTCTGTTGCATTTTTCTCAGCAATTACAAAGATATTTGGTATGAAAATTCATATCAGTAAGCTATACCATTAAACACACTTTCACTCTTGTTATAATTATCTTCTCCCAGTTTTCCCCATACATGTATACTGGTATATGTTATTAATATTGATGTAAATAAAAGAAATTTCATCACATTTTTCTATACATATGTACTACAATTCAGAGCTTCTTGATGTTTGGTTCAAAGCTTCATATTTATAAGCTAAAATCTGTGGCACCTTTTCAGATCTGTCACTAATCTACCTCTTGCTTTCCTGATGTCTGAACATTTTTATACGACCGCAAAAAATTTTGCGGTCGTATATTGGTATGACGTTTGCGTGGTCGTCGTAGTCCGAAGACACATTGGTTTTCGCACTCTAACTTTAGTTTAAGTGAATGGATCTCTATGAAATTTTACCATAAGGTTCAATACCACAATAGGAAGGTGGGGATTGGGGGTTATGGTACCAACAGTTAAGGAATTAGGGGCCAAAAATAAGCATTTTTGTAAGTTCCAGACATAACTTGTGTGTTAGTGTATGGATCTCTCTGACATTGTACCACAAGGTTCCATATCACAAAGGGAATGCTTGGATTGATTTTGGGGGTAATTGCCTCCAAATTTTAGGAATTAGGGGTCAAAAAGGGGCAAAAAACAAGCATTTTTCTAGTTTCATGACAATAACTTGTGTGTAAGTGTATGGATCTCTCTGACATTGTACCACAAGGTTCCATATCACAAAGGGAATGCTGGGATTGATTTTGGGGATAATTGCTTCCAAATTTTAGGAATTAGGGGCAAAAAAGGGGCAAAAAACAAGCATTTTTCTAGTTTCATGACAATAACTTGTGTGTAAGTGTATGGATCTTTATGAAATTGTACTACAAGGTTCCATATCACAAAGGGAAAGCTGGAATTGAGTTTGGGGGTAATTGCCCAAAACGTTTAGGAATAAGGGGCCAAAAAGGGGCCAAAAATAAGCATTTTTCTAGTTTCCAGACAATAACTTGTGTTCAAGTGTATGGATCTCTCTGAAATTGTACTGCAAGGTACCATACCACAAAGGAAAGGCTGGGATTGATTTTGGGGTAATTGCCTTAAAATTTTAGGAATAAGGGGCCATAAAGGGGCAAAAAACCCAGCATTTTTCTAGCTTCAGGACAATAACTTGTGTGTTAGTGTATGGACCTTTCTGAAATTGTACTGCAAGGTTCCATATCACAAGGGGAAAGCTGGGTTTGAGTTTGGGGGTAATTGCCCTAAATGTTTAGGAATTTGGGGCCAAAAAACAAGCATTTTTCTAGTTTTTAGACAATAACTTGTGTTCAAGTGTATGGATCTCTCTGAAATTGTACTGCAAGGTACCATACCACAAAGGGAAGGCTGGGATTGAGTTTGGGGGTGATGAATCATAAGGGGGTTCAAAAAATTGGGGGGGGGATTTTTTTTTCCTTTTTTTTCTTTAAAATTTTCCATTTTGATTTTAAATTGGTTATTTCTGATTTATATATAAAAGCAAATAATAACGATATGGTTTGAATAGGTAAATTAAAAATTTTTAAGTTCTTAGACCACATTCATTCTGTGTCAGAAACCTATGCTGTGTCAAATATTTAATTACAATCCAAACTCAGTGCTGTATCAAGCTTGAATGTTGTGTCCATACTTGCCCCAACTGTTCAGGGTTCGACCTCTGCAGTCGTATCAAGCTGCACCCCAGCGGAGCATTTTATTATAAGCTGTTTACGAGACGTCTTATGGTATACCGTTTCCGTCTGTCCGTTGTCAACATGTTGCCTAATAATTTAAAAACGCTTTAACCAATTTGCATGAAACTTTGGTGAATTGTTTATATCTATTGACGTGAGCTCCCTTTGTATTTTATAAATGTTAGATTTTACGTTCTAAGTTATTGGGTGTTATTCATTAAAAAGGGTGATTTTCCAGTTTTCGGACAATAACCCAAAAATGCTTTGAGCAGTTTTCATGAAACTTTGATGAATTGTTTATATCTATTGACGTAAGATCCCTTTCAATTTTTATAAATTTTAGATTTTACGTTTTCCGAGTTATAGGGTTTTATTCATTAAAAAGGGGGATTTTCCAGTTTTCGGACAATAACTCAAAAGTGCTTTGAGCAATGATGACTGGTTTATATCTATTAAAATAACCTCCCTTTAGTTTTTTATAAATTTCTGATATGACATTGAGTAGTTATTGAACTTTATTCTTTGAAAAAGCGACGGGCGTATCATGCGCTCATGGCGCAGCTCTTTATTTTAATGAATACATTTTTGTACATGCAATAAATGTGTATAATTCATATTCTCAGGAACTACAAATAATATTTTCTTGATATTTGATATAAAGTGAACCCCTGTTCTTTACCAATCTCCACATTGGTTTTATACATGTATTTCATTTCACTCACAAGCAAGAGCGAATGTATAAATAGTTAGCAGTAAAAAAGATACCAAGGGGGGCAAGGGTAATAAAAAACCACAAAACACAACAACTTGGTCATAAGGAAAAACAATTTAAAATGTAAAACAACAGTCCACATAACACCACAAGGTTACACAACAAAAAAAAGGATAAGCAGTAACGGTACCACTAGTATTTTACTCATTGCAAGTAACAATTAGGTGATAAGTCACATCCAGTTTAGTTATAATTGAGGAAAACAGAGCGGATTGTGGCTATGATGAGTGATCAACGATAATACAGATGTTCCATAACAGTTAACCAAACTATGATAGAAAAGGGGAACCATAGAATATCTTATCAACGGATAGTTTTATAATTCATATGAATGTTACTGCAAAGAAAAGGCAAGTTTAATATGAAAAATTTGAAACAATATTTTGTTGTAAAGCTTAGTCATCAACTACCCTCATTGTCAATTTGTATGAGCAAGTCAAGATTATAAGCAGGCCTAATTGTTTCTGAGTTGTCATTTATTTCAAATTCAATGACATAGATGCAATCAATAGTCACTGCAAAACTTTGACTTATTCAGTAAAGGGCATCATCTATATATCAGAACCTGAAGTGCATGTTTTTTTGTTTTTTTTTATTTTTCTTTGGAAGCTCCTTAGTCCTATATGAAGGTGCCTCACAAAAATAAAGAAAAAAGTTGACAAAAAGAGGGACACAGTTGGTTCACTTACTAATCCAGATTGGTATAGGGAATATGTCCTCCAAATGTAACTCGTACAATGTACGAGGTTTAGACAGGGATAAGGGAACCTGGGAATGAAGGTGCTGGAAATAGGAGTTGGGGGAGTAAAGTAGAAGCCAGGGCATGAAGAGAGGTAGTAAAAAAGGCATATGCTGGAAAAGTTTCTATAACAGATTTTTGTCTTGAGTAAGGGGATGGGAATTCGGAGAAGGAGAAGGGAAGTGGGAATCGGGCACCCTCTGTCCACACCCTCTTATATGTTGTCAATAAAAATATCAAGCATCTTAATGATGTCAATTGCAGAGCACTTTTTGGTTCAATTTTATTAGTTTACAAAGTATGATTTGTCCCTACCTAAGACCAGCTCTGTGTTTCTTCTTTGTGTATTCTTTTTAATGAATTAAAATTGAACTTGATTCTTTCAATTTTTATTGTCTATCCGGCGACGAAAGTTGAATAATGCGAGACCTAGGGATTTCTATCCAGAAATGGCAGAGGTGTAAACCATTTGTACAAAATTTTTTTTATTTCAGAAGGTACATGACCTGGATGCCTCATACCTTGTATGCAGATGCCTTATGTTATGAAGTTTCTGTCTGTCATATTGTCCATTGATCTTGACCTTATTTTCATGGTTCAGTGAATGCTTGAAAATAAATTATAATTTTGTTGTAAAATACTTACTTATTATAAGTAATAGGATGACTTTATTTGATATATAGATGTACATGTCTGTCAGACAGAATTAACCTGACCTTGACCCCATTTCACGGATCAGTGATCAAGGTCAAGTCCATATCTCATGTTGATATCTGTATGAAGCTTTTCCCCGAAATCTGTAATAAAACTTGGATTTTTTTTGGTCCATTTTTTTAAAATCACAATAATAAATGCACTCAATAATTTCTGAATTAACAGTGTATGAAATAATTGTAAGGTGTTTATGTCTATGGCAAGCCGCTTTTATATTTATTCAATTTCAAGATATATAAAGTATGAAAGATACAAGTATCTTTTTAAAGATATCTTTTATAAAATACTTTATGACATATCTTGTAGAGTTTAGAGGATATCTTTTAAAAGTATTTAAGATATCTTATTTACTTTATTAGATGTCTTATTAACTTTATTAAATTTCTAATAACCTTTATTGAATATCTT